CCATAGAATGGTTAACTATTCAAGATCAAAAGGGCAGCATTTAACTAAGGACAAGATTTAGAAGGATTGGGGAAGAAGAAGGAATGGAAATAAGAATCACAGGGAGGAAACAGCAGGTAGGATAAAACTACTGACCTTGTGGTTATCAACCCAATTTGTAACCCACTACGCTGCTAGAAAGATGAGGCTTTCTACTCCCGTAAGGATTTACACCCTCGGAAACCCTCTACAGGGTCGCTATGGGTCGGAACTGACTCGAAGGCACTTAACAACAACAACAACGCTGCTAGAGCTCTGGTAGCTACGTAGCTAGGAGCTCTGGTAGCGTAGTGGTTACGAATCGGGCTGCGAACCTTAAGGTCAGCAGTTCGAAACTACCAGCCGCTCCGCGGGAGAAAGATGAGGCTTTCTACTCCCGTAAAGATTTACACCCTCGGAAACCAACGCTGCTAGAGCTCCTTAAAAGTAATAGTAGTGGAAGGAAATACGTGCCACTTTTTAGTTATTAATAGTAATAGAATTCTGTTGTGGTACTGTAAGATAAACACTGGACTGCAAGTTCATTTAAACTGCAAGGCTAATAGTTCAAACTCACCAGCTGCTCCTCAGGAACCCTACACAGGGATTCTATGTGTTGGAACTGACTTGACGGAACTTAACAACAATGACAATAATGAAAATAGGTAGAGGCCCTAAGTTGTAAGTGCTCGTCTACCTTCCTTTGTAGAAATAGCACAGGAAACTCAAAAGGCTAAATAGGAGGATGTCACTCAGGCAGACAGACTATGGCAGCATCCAGCCTGCTCACACTAATAAAAAGCAATCACATACAAGCCTTAATGTTCTGGCTTCTGCAGCTGTGCATTATTCCATATGTGGTGAATTGAGATATAGCTCAATTCCTTTGACATGCCAAAAAATATGGTCTGTGTTAATTTTAACTTTAGAGTAAGAATTGTTAAAGATTTAACAAATCATTACATCAGCAGCCCCCAGTTTTTCATAACGTATTTCTCCTTTCTGTGGGCTAATGTGTCACACTACAAAGTCATTTAAACTGCAAGGTCAGTGGTTCAAGCTCACCAGCTGCTCCTTGGAAACCCTATTGGGTCACTATGGGTCGGAGTCAACTTGACGGCACCTAACAACAACAACAACAACAAATAAACCGTGCATTCAGCAATTTTACTCATATCCCTGTGGAAATCATATTCTGCCATTTCTTCTAAATGCCCATTTTTTATTTATCTTTACATAAAACTAAAGGAATTGTCAAATGTCTTTAGGAAAAGCAAAATAAGAGCATTGGCATGGTGGAGCTAAGATTCTATATATAAATTAATTTGCCTAAATGGCTTCTTTCCTGACTATTTTCTGCATCTTTCTCATTTTTCTTTTTAAAAGATTCTTTTTCCCCTATTATACATTTTGGAGGTCACAATTCATTAGATCATAGCCTGCCATGTCCTTCCTTAATATCACCCCACATTCTTTTGTTTTTTTCTCTTTTCTTAGACAATTTCCTCATCCAGATTACAGACCTGTGATCAATGGGCATTTTAATCTCTAACATTATAAACTACAAATGCATAAATTAGAGAAATTTAAGTGATGTGGCAAACCCTCTCTTTAACTGTACTGTTATGGATTGAGCTGTGTTGCCTCAAAATGGGTTGGAAGTTCTAACCTCTATACCTATGGTTATAATACAATAGGAATGGTTTTTCTTATTATGACGGTGGGGTGGTGGTAGTGTGCTATTAAGTTGATTCCAACTCACACAGACCCTACATAGGGTTTCTGAGGCTGTGAATCTTTACAGAACAGAAAGTCTCATCTTTCTCCCATGGAGTGGCTGGAAATTTCAAACTGCTAATTTAGGAGCTCTGGTAGATCTGGTAGCAAGGAGCTCTGGTAGCGTAGTGGTTATGAATTGGGCTGTGAACCTCAGGGTCAGCAGTTTGAAACTACCAGCTGTTCCGTGGGAGAAAGATGAGGCTTTCTGCTCCCGTAAAGATTTACTGCCTCGGAAATCTTGTACAGGGTTGCTATGAGTCGGAACTGACTCCATGGCACAAAACTACAACAACAAGAACTTTTCGGTTAGCAGCCCAACTCATTTAATTTGATTTCTTTTGAGATGTAAAGGAGCAGATTAAGCAAGCAACTAAGCAAGCAAGTAGAGATGGGGAAAGATAGATGCTATGCCCTTTAAAGATCACCAAGGAGCCAAGGAACATATAAAGAGACTACTAGGCCCTTACTCCAGAGCCAACTGAAAGAGAAAGCCTTTCCCTAGAGCTGGCATCACAAATTCAGATCTTTAGCTTCCAACTAAGACGCACTAGGAAGAAGTAGAGGACTACTTCTGAACAGTTAGCCCCTGAAAACCTTATGAATAGCAACTCTTCTACAAAAGATTTGTTTAAAGTTTTAAAGAGCAGAGATAACAGTTTGAGGACTAAAGTGTACCTAACCCAAATCATGGTATTTTAACTGCTTCATATTTACACACACACAAGGTGGTTTCAAAAAGTTGGTGGGAAAAAGACATGAAAGATAATGAAATTTTTCCATGAACTTTTGAAGTCTCGTTGTACATTTTGGTAAATTCCTTAAATACCAGGACACATAAAGAGTATTGCTACAAATCATGTTTTTGTTTGTTAGGTGCTGTTGAATCGGCTTCGATTCATAGAGACTTTATGCACAACAGAATGAACCACTGTCCAGTTCCAATCTCACAATCATTGTTACGGTTGAGTCCATTATTGCTGCCACTCTGCCAATCCATTTCGTTGGAGGTCTCCCTCTTTTTTGCTGACCCTCCACTTCATAAAGCATTATTTCCTTCTCAGGGACAAAACCACAGAAACCTTAATTTAACAGAAACATTAAAATGCGACATGTCTCTCAACATATCCTCCATGTAAGTCTATATACTTCTAAAGACAGTGTTTGCATCTCTCTAACCCCTCCCCCAAAGAATTCTGCACTCTTTTATTCACACCAAAATAGCAGTTTTGGCATCCTCTAAGGATTCAAATCTTGTTCCCTTTAAATGCTCTATGTGTTTTGGAAACAAAAAGAAGTCTGATGAGGCAAGATTAGGACTGAAAGGCAGATAGGGTAAATTTCCCAATGAAATTCTAGTGGGACAGCCCCTGCTATCCTTGAAGAATGAGCAAGTGCATTGCTGTAACAGACAAAACTTCCTTGGTGCAACTTTCATGGTCTTTTTCTCACCTATGTAGTTTTCAAATTTCTTAAACATCTTACTAATATGCCCCTGTGATCATCCTGTGTCCTTCAAGAAAATCCATCAAGATTATCCCTTTGGAATTCTAAAAACAATTACCATAATGTCCTGAAATGACCTGTCTGCTTTGAATTTAACTGGTCCATAGATCCCCTCAGAAGCCACTTTTTTTTTTTTTTTTTTTAATTGAAGGCACCCTAATGAGACTAAGACAAGTGTATTACTGAAATAACTTGTCTGCAGTTATCCAATGACTGTAGAAACATATTTAAACATGTTTTGGTTAGAATAAACCTGTGCATGTAGTAATTGGAAGTCTAGTCGCAATACTTTTTTTTTACTTATCCTATTAATGATAACTTACTTTAAGGCTTCCTCAAGGGCAGTAATAAACAAAGAAATCCCAAGAAAACTCTAAAACTATCATACATCATGACCCCAGATAAAGACACAGGGGTGAGGACTAGTTAGTTGTTAACAAAAGAGAGAGAGAGAAAAAATAATAATAACAGAAAGAGAATGGTGGTTGTTTGTGGTGGTTATGTGCCGTGGAGTAGGTTCCAACTCAGAGCTACCCTGTATAGTGTTTCCGAGGCTATACATCTCCGTAAATATGTGGTCTGTGCTTATCCTACGTCCCATAGCGGGACTCTAGAAAGAGAAGGTTGCTCCTAGAAAGAGAAGGTTGCTGTTATGTGCTGTCGAGGTAGTTCCAACTCCCTGTATAGTGTTTTCGAGGAGCTTCTGGTGAGTTTGAATCGCCAACCTTGTGGTTCAAACAAACCATGTCCCCAGTGTTTATCCTACAGCGCCACACCAAGAGAATGGTGGTGGTGGTTTGTGCCATGGAATCAGTTCCAACTCATAGCGACCCTGGAGTTATGTTAATTGCAGAATAAAGACAGATAGACAAACATTGCTTCTAGTTTTCCAATTATTTTGCAGAAACACTAGGGTAATTAGGAGTCCTGGTGTGGCGCTGTGGGTTAATGCCCCAGACTGCAAAGCTGTTGGAACTGCAAGGTCGGCGGTACAAGCTCACCAGCTGCTCCTTGGGAACCCTATACAGGGTCTCTATAGGTCAGAATCGACTCGATGGCACTTAACAACAACAACAATGGTAGTGCCCAGGACACTGGCCTGCCTTAAAATAGTCTGGTATGCTTCAACCTAATCCAGACTTTGCTCAATCATCACCTTGTAAAGCCTACTCTAAAAACTGTATCCTCCCTATGCCTTTCCCTACTTCAGATAGTTGTTAAATGCTGGGGAGTCAGTTCTGTCCCATAGCGACCCTGTGTAGGGTTTCCAACGAACAGCGGTGGGTTTGAGCTACCGACTTTTCGGTTCAAACTAACCTTGCAGTCCAGCGCAAGACTCCTGATTACCCTAGTGTGAATTGTTTGTGACGACCACCTTGAAGGTAAGGCCTGCCCAGCTTGGTCGCTTCTCCTTTAAATCTGCCTTGGAGAGGGCGGGGCTAGGACCGAGGCTCCCAGAAAGGCGAGATCATCCCTGTATGCTCCACCTACTCGGTCGCTGGCTTTGGGAGCTGCCTTTTCCCCCTAGTTCGTTCCGGAAACGTGGTGAGATCCGGGCCGGGTCTGCACGTAACCGTGACGCAATCGAGTCCGCGCCAGTCGACCTGACGCCCTCAGTTTACGCGAGGTCCTGGGCTTCCTAGACCTGGCTTAAATTTTGAATCCTTTCTCTAGGTTCCAGGTGTCTGAGCTCGGACTCCACGATGTACCATAACAGTAGCCAGAAACGGCACTGGACTTTCGCCACTGAAGAGCAACTAACACGACTGCGGGCCGACGCCAATCGCAAATTCAAATGCAAAGCGGTGGCAAACGGGAAGGTGAGGACCCAGGCAGCTACTCCTTTGCCTCGGCCCCTAAACCTGGACTAGCTGCGGCGCTTCTGGGGCTTTGCGCACTTCCTCATCCCTCCAGCCACTGCTGCTGAATTTGTTTATAGTCTGTAAATAAGCTAGTGGTTTGTCAGGTGTTGACAGTGCCTTACGCATAGTAAAAGTGGGGCAAGTGCCATCCACAGTTCTGTAGGGACATGTGTTGTTGTGTGCCGTGGAGTCGGTTCCGACTCATAGCGACCCTACACAGGGTTTCCGAGGCTGTAAATCTTTACGGGAGCAGACTGCCTCGTCTTTCTCCCGTGGAACCGCTGGTAGTTTCGAACTGCTGACCTTGCGGCTCGCAGCCTGATTCGTAAGCACTACGCTACGGGGAAGACTTTTCCCAGTAGATGATCCGAGAAAACGGGGAAAGGGAGTTCCAGGTGGATGGAGCCACTGGCCCAAAGTTAAGTGCCATTGAGTCGGTTCCGACCCATAGCAACCCTGTATAGGGTTTCCAAGGAGTGGCTGGTGAGCTTGAACCGCCAACCCTGAGGTTCAAACCGACTTTGCAGTCCGGCGCATTTGCAGTTAGGAGTCCATGGTAATTGTGTGTGGCCAAGTAGAACAAGTATATAGGAAATGGCTGGAGAAGGTAGGAACTTGTAATAGGCAAAAGGGAGCTTGAAGTTTATACTTTGAAATGTTTTAAAAGTAATATAATTTAGCAGATCTCTGTTCTAGAAGGAGCCTTCCTGGTAACTAGGGAGTCAATGGATTGGATGGAGCGGAGTGCAGGCAGGAAGACTAGAGAGAGACATTAGCTTAAATCAGTTGACTGAAGATGGTTTGGGCTGTGGCCTGTCAGCTGTTCTTCTGTTACAACTTCCAATCATGTCTGCAGTTTACTCTTTTTCATAGTCTCCACCACTCTAGCCCAAAGGTCCTTTCAGCAGTTACTTGATGTCTCAGACATTTATTCTTAATTTAGTTTTACCTTTAATTTATGAGTATTTAATGTCACTCATTTTTGTGCTATACTAAATAGTATATAGGAGTTCTGGTTGTTTAGTGGTTATGAGTCTGGTTGCTTGCTGATTGCAAGGTCAGCAATTCAAAACTACCAGCGTTTCTGCAGGAGAAAGATGAGGCTTTCTGCTCCCATAAAGATTTAAAGCCTCAGAAACCCTATGCAGAACTGACTGACTCCATGGCACATAACCACCCACCACCAAATAATTGATGGGAGGTGACTTTGATGGCACTTAACAGAAACAACAAATAGTATATAGAGCCCTGGTGTGGGTAAGCATTGGACTGCTAACCACAAAAATGTTGGTTCAAACCCACCAGCTGCTCCTCAAGAACTCTATACAGGGTCGTTATGAGTTAGAACCAACTTGAGAGCACTTAGCAACAACAAAATAATACGTGTGTGTGTGTGTGTGTGTGTGTATAGGTAGTTGTTAAGTGCGGTCAAGTCGATTCCTACCCATAGTGACCCTGTCCAATTCGTAACCACTACGTTACCAGAGCGTTCTCTCTATCTTCC